CTATCTATCTATCTATCTATCTATCTATCTATCTATCTATCTATCTACTACATCTATCTATATTATCCTTCCATCCATCCATCCATCTATTCATCTACCTACCTACCTACCTACCTACTTATCATCTATCCATCCACCCGTCTATCCATTATCTACCTACTCCATTATCTACCTACCTTTCCTGCTTTGAATTTAGCCAGTGCAATGGACCAAATCAAGGTCTGGTGAATTACTTCACTGGAGATGCAGAAGATAATAGCTCCCACTGGCCTTATGAGAAAAAAAAAAAAAGCATTGTGTGTGATGTATAAAGAGAAAAGACTTCTGAAAATAACTCTTTTTTTTTTCTTTTTAAAGAATTACTATGGATTTCCATACTTCCTGAAAATAGCTCTATCTTGCCTCTTTTGGGTAAGGATGAAATGTGTGCGTAATTGGTAACAGTTCCTTGATCGAAAGAAGGAGAGGAATTAGGTTTGGAAGGGTCCTGCTTTAGTCAATCAGGATAGAGCTGGAAGGGACCTTGGAGGTCTTCTAGACCAGTGGTTGCCAATCAGTGGGCTGAGGACCACTAGTGGTCCATGAGAAAATTTTGGTGGTCCGCAGATAAATGTCACCCTCAAAGCACCCCCCCAAAGCAATTAATCCAGGCTACACAGGAACACAAGGCTGCACCGCCCACATGGCCCATGGGAACACAAGCTTTGCGTCACTTGCATCGCGAACAACACGAGGTAGTGAGGGAAGGGGGGGAAAGGGCGGAGGAGGAGAACTTGCCCCATTCACCCCACGTGTCTGGCCTGGCCACCAGGTGCTTCTTTCTGCTTCTTTTGCTTTTAGCTGCACACAAGGAAAGCAGCAAAAGTCTTTCTCTTGCCCAAACTCTGCCAGAAATGAGTCTTTGGGACCCTGCAAGGCCTCCTTGCTCCAACAGGCTGCACCGGCGCCACAAGTCTTACAAAGACTCATTTCTGGCGGAGTTTGGGGGAGAGAAAGAAAGACTTCTGCTGCTTCTGGTGCTCTCCTTGCATGAAGTCAAAAGTCTCTCTCTCTTTCTCCCCCTGAGAATGGAGCTGGAAACGGTGTCCTGCGGGTGGGGAATTTTCCTTCAGACTTTTGGGGGGATTTTCCCAGGGTCTCTGGTCCGCGGGATTTGAAATTATGAGTTTGGTGGTCCCTGAGGTCCAAAAGGTGGCGACCCCTGCCCTGGTCCAACCCCCTGCTCAGGCAGGAGTCCTATACAATTTGAAATGAGGGATTGTGCAGTCTCTTCCTAAAAACCTCCAATGATGAAGCACCCACAACTTCTGAAGGCAAGCTATTCTACCAGTTAATTGTGATTTGCTTTCGTTATTTATTAAGGAAAGGGACACATTTTGGTGATGGGAGAAGGCTAGGTCACATCTGGAGTGGTTCTACTGGTGTGGTAGGGAGCCAGTACCACCCAATCCCTCAAGTTCATCGACTTAGAATTATTATTATTCGTTCAATGTGTTGGTTGCCCATCTCACTGCGAGGGCTACTTTTGGATGCTTACAAGAATAAAAAAACCTTAGAAATAACAACAACAACAATAATAATATAACAATAACAACAGTTCCTAGGTCCTTGGTTAGGACTTGAGCTGTTGAGCTATCAACCAGCCCCAAAGGCTGTGAATCTCACTAAAGATATAACAACAACAACAATATAACCACAAAGGATCGCTTGAGAAAGACTCTCCAACCTTCTTCTTGCAGACCCAAGAGATGACTATTCGGTTGGGCCACTACAGTGGACTGACACCAATCGTGAGGGTCTATTTTAGAGAACCCGTCAACCCCGTGCGCCAGAAACAAGAACTTTTACGGATTGAAATGAAGACTGCCCCATACCGGATGAATGGTGAGTTGGTGACCAGGAGCATTTTGGCACCATTGTAGAAGCGGTGAGGCTGGAGCAATGGGAAGGGTCTTCACTCCTGCCCACATAACCAGATGTTGCTCATGGCCTTTGAAAAATAGAGAGACTTGTTTGATCCAGTTTTGGCACCCTAAATCTTTCTTTCCAGATCCAGCCGCCTATGCACAAAGTGAATTAGCTGCTACTGTTTGGGATAGGTGGCAGGGCTCCCTTCTCCCAAAAGATGTTCGGTTTTGGATTGGCATGTTGCATAAACCCAGACTTTTGCCAATAAATTTTTGCTGGTTACACTATAGAATTAGATAAATGGCAGAAATTGTGGGATAGAAACTAAAAACTAACCATGTCAACTGCATACAAAGAAACTCTGTATAAGATGTTCTTTAGATGGCATTTTGCGCCAGCAAGACTGTCAAGGATGTTTAAAGATAAATCAGCTAAATGCTGGAAATGTCACCAGACACTAGGAACATATTATCATATGTGGTGGATATGAAGCTAGATGTTGGACAGAAATACATACATGGTTGGAAAAGATGATACAGCAACATATTGATTTAAAACCTGAAATATTTCTGTTGGGGATTATACCTGAAAGTTACAGTAAAGAGAATGTATATTTAATTATTCATGTATTAAATGCAGCTAGAATTGTATTTGCACAAAATTGGAAAAGTGAAGAGATTCCAACTGAAGAGAATGGGATTAGAAAAATACTAAGCTGTGCAGAAATGAATACATTAACATTAGCAATCCAAGAGAAGGAACACACTGAATATTATATAATATGGGGTTCATTTTATCAATGGTTGGAAAATAAAGATGGAAGTTAGAAACGAAAGAAGACTAGCATAAAAGAGTAAACACGTGGTAAGAATTAAAAATGGGGAATGTTAGAAGAATTAGATATATGATGTAGATTAGTATGATATAAGAATAGAGTATTAAAGTAAAAGCAATGAATATGTATAAACTATCATGGTTATTGCACAAGATATGAATACTCCAATGACACACTATTCAAATGAAAGATGGAATGTACAAATAAAATTAAAAATAAAATACAAACCCCAGTAAAGGAGAATACCTGTAGCGATGGTCGTAGAGACGGGCAGGTGGCCAAGGCTCTGAATTTTGATCACATGACCCTGGGGATGCTGCAAAGGCTGTAACTGTGAACTCATAAGTCACATTTTTCAGTGCTGTTGTAACTTCGAGTGGTCATTAAATGAACTGTTGTAAGTCAGGGATGGCCTGCATACATCCTTATGAACGTATTGTAAAAACCATGCCTCTGTTGGTAACCATGGGGTAGGTTTCTGCTCCTCATTCAGCAAGCCGCTCAGGCTGCGTGACATGCTATTCTCTGTCTCTCCAGATTCCGCAACTTGTGATAGCGAGGAAGTTTGCAGGATGTTTTGGTTTGTGCCGATGCCCTTCATGAACGGCAGCGTTATGCACCGAGTCCTGGTGAAGTCTAATGGCCTTGGGATCCCTGTATACAACAGGATGTAAGAAGAGGCTGGGTCTAGTGGTCTTTCTAGCCTTCCCTCTTGCTAAATGCTGCCAACAAGGGAATTAATACTAGATACCTTTCATTTATATTTTCCTGCATTTATTATTCTTTTACCTTCCTCTTCCTATTTTACCCACCACCACCACCAAGTTGGACGGCGAGAAAGGGCCTGGCCCAAGATCACCCAGCTGGCATTTAAAGCCAAAACAAGATTAGAACTCATGGTCTTCTGTTGATTGGCCCTAAATCACCTAGCTTTCATGCCTAAGGCCGGACTAGAACTCATGTCTCCTAGCGATTAGCCCAAAGTCACCAAGCCAACATTCATAGCTAAAGCGGGACTAGATAGAACTCATGGTATCCCTCTTTCCAGCCCACTACCCTGAACCACTAGACCAGACTGCCTCTCAAACCACTTTGTTGGAACCAAACCTTTCGATTCCTCCCTTTCGAGAAGGTTTCCTGCTGTGGCCGTCAGATAATTTTATTCTAAATTGCTCTCCTCCTATTTCTTTCACTTTCCCCCCTTTGTTGTGGTTCTCTTGGACCCAAGTATCATATCACAGTATAATTTGCTTTGGCAGACAGTTATTCAGAAACGTAGTAAATGAAATATTCATATGCCTGCGCTTCCTCTTTCCCTTTCTTCCTAGGTTCGACATGAACATACATGGATTTATGGAACCATCCGACGTATCAGATATATTCAGGATTGGGAAAAAGGTAATTTGCTGTGGGCTGGGGTTTGCAAATGTAGACCTACGATGCTTGGGTTAGAGTTAGGGTTAGGGCATCCGCATGTCAGGCACTGGACCCGGCTGTTCCTCCTCTTCCTCCTCAGCCACCTCCAGACCTGGGGGCTGTTGGCTCTCCGTCTGAGGTCTGACGGACAGCCCAGGCTCTGCCTCTGCCTCCCTCTCTGCCAACTCTACTCCCTCTTCCCCCTCAGAGCTGTCAGGTGGCCTTGCTGCTGAGCCTGACTCCCACGCTGCCTCCTCCTCCTCTGATTTGGCTGCTGTGGAGGGCCCGGTGGCCGACAGCCCATAACAAAGCCTGCTTGCATTCAGTAAGGCAAATGCCTCTTTTGGTTCCCCTGGACAGAGGACACTCCAGCAATCCCTTTCCACTGTGAATCCAGCCACCCCTTTGAGAACATTCAGTTGGCCGGAGGACTCGAACTCACAGTCTCCTGTTTTCTAGTCCAGCTCCTAAACCACTACCCAACCAAACTGACCCAGATCTTCCTGTCTCCTCACACATACAGAACTAACCTCACTGGAAAATAGGGGCAGCTAAGCTTCACCTACAGCGAAGAGTGCTGTGGCCCAACTAAAATCTGTGGCTTAACAGAGTGGGAAGGGACCTTTAAAAGTCTTCCAACCACCTACTCAGGCAGGAAGCCCAATACCATTCCAAACAAAGTGATTGTCCAGTCTCCTTAAAAAAACCTCCAGTTTTTTTTTTTTTTTAGTTTCCATCCGTTGTTTCTTGTCCTGCCTTCATGTGCTTTGGAGAAGAGATTGACCCCCCCCCCGCCCCTTCTGTCAGCATTCCAGAAAATCTCCACTCCAACCAATAACTCCCGAGACAGGCATCTTCTCAAAAGTTCTGTTTTAATTGGATAGTAAGCTGGCACTTCTGGGAAGTCCCGAATCTGAAAGTTCTGGGTTTCCTTGCAATAAGTAAAAACTACAAATCCACCCCCTGCACCCATCATGGCATCACACGCCCTAATCACCATCTGTCCCAACTTGAGACGTCCTCTCACCCAGGTGCAGAAATAACATGACCTTGACTTAGAAGAAGAATGCTATTATGTCTAACCACATACACTCCAAGATATTCCCCCCTCCCATTTTCCCAGGCTCAAGAATGTGGCAGTGTGGAAGCGTCTGGTATCAATATGGCTTCCAAAGCTGACATCTTCTTTGTGGCAGCCCTTGAGATATTGGAACACTGCTATCAGGTCACCCCTAGTCCTTCTTTTCATTAAACTAGACGTACCCAATTCCAGCGACCGTTTTCTTTATATGTCTTAGGCACCCAGCCCTAAACATCTTGGGCTTCACATTGCGGCGGAATCAAACATTTTGGATTGATGGGCACGTGCTGAACATTTCTTTTATCTCCCCGTCTGGTTGGGTACAGTTGTACAGGTGGAGGGATGTCTTTAGCCTGAATGATCCATCACGGCCCTTGTGGGCCACCTACCGACAAGCACCTGTGCTTATCCTGGGAGGGATCCCCGAGAAGAAGATCGTCGTCATCTCTGATACAAACTTCGATACGTATGACCTAATAGAGGTAAACAGAGAGAGAGAGAAAATGACAACAATAAAAAATTGCAACACCACTAAGAGCCATGGTGGCACAGTGGTTAGAGTGCAGTATTGCAGGCTATTACTGCTGACTGCCAGCTGACAGCAGTTTGGCAATTCAAGTCTCACCAGGCTCAAGGTTGACTCAGCCTTCTGTCCTTCCATGGTTGGTCAAATAAGGACCCAGATTGCTGGAGAAAAGAGGCTAACTCTTTAAACCGCTTAGAGGGGCCTGTAAAAGCCCTGTGAAGCAGTATATAAGTCTACGCACTCTTGCTATCACTGAAAAAGAGAGAGAGAGACAATCTCCTTTTGTAACCTTCTGACCAGCAAAATCCATGGGCAAGCCAGATTCACTTAACAACCGTGTGACTAACTTAACAACTGCAGTGATCCGCTTCACCCCTGTGGCAAGAAAGATCGTAAAACTCATTTCACAAATGTCTTGCTTAACCGCAGAAATGTTGGCCTCCTTTGTGGTCATTAGTCAAGGACTATCCTGTGTTTTTCTGCACCTCTGGAGGGTTAGGCTTCCTCCCTTGGGGAGGGCCGTAGAGAGAGATTCTTCCTCTCCCCTCAGCTCACACAGCTTTGCCCTTTTTTTTCTTTTTAGTATATATTATTTATTTCATAAACATTTTGAATACAGTGTATTGTCAGGGCAACTCATTTACAGAAAAACAGAAAGAACAAACAGGGATATGAACACATATACTACTAATAATAGCATAATGGAATAAGAGATTTCTCTTTGTATTAGCTTATTTGTAATTCTGTTGATTATATTGGCATATTTATAATTATATATCTTTATATTTAATTCATACATAGCAATAATATTTCTTCATGTAATTTCTACCTCTTATCTCTTAGCCACTCGTAAAATCTATTCCATGTTAAGTAATACTCTGTGTCTTCTTTATCCTTTATTTTCAACACCAATCTCTCCATCTCTGCAGCATCTAATGTTTTCCGAATTACATCCTCATCTAATGGAGTGTTCTCATTTTCCCAATATTGTTCAAATACAGCTTTGCCTTTTTGTCTCTGGCTCTGCTGCAGGTGGCCATCGACAGCTGCTGGATCGGCTCCCTTTCCTGCCCGCAACGAAATTTCTCCTCCTCCATTGTAGACACCATCGCTACTGAAAGTACTCTCTTCATCCGGCAAAACCAACTGGTCTATTATTTTACAGGGCATTATTCAATTTTACACCAGGAAACCAAAGGATCTGGTATGTGAGCCTAAAAAAATAAAGCCCTAAACTGCTCCTGTGGCCGCCTGCCCCTTCCCCCTCCTGCCCCGATGCTTCCATGGCCTTGCCAGGAAGATCCATAATCGGTAAAAATCAAAGCTTCCTGCCAGAGAGTCAAATCAACCCACTGGATTCCTTGCGTTCCTGCTTTACTCCATGCGTTATTAAGATCCCAGGGACTGAATGATCTATACATTTACATGTGGAAGTGTGATTTACCATAATTTGAGCAAGTCCTCTGGATACTCAGGGGGGGTTCAAGAGCTGTGATGGTACTTTTCACAGTGCTTTTACAGCCCTCTTTAAACGGTTTACAGAATCCTCCTCTTGCCCCCAACAATCTGGGTCCTTATTTGACAAGATCTCAGAAGGGATGGAAGGCTGACTTGAGATGGTCAGGATCGAACTCCTGGCAGTGGGCAAAGTTAGCCTGCAATACCGCATTCTAACCACTGTGCACCACAGAAGGGAGGGAGGGAGAGAGAATGGAAGGAAGGACAGAAAAAAAGGAAGAGCAATAGCGTAGATTTATATACCGCTTCACAGTCCATTTACTGCCCTCTCCAAGTGGTTTACAGAATTGGCCTCTTGCCCCCGACAATCTGGGTCCTCATTTGACCGATCTCAGAAGGATGGAAGGCTGAGTCCAACCCTGAGCCGGCGAGTGAGTCTCGAACTGCTGGCAGTCTGCAGAGCCTGCTACTACCACGTTCTAACCCCTGCGCCACCACAGCTGTTTGGCATCTTTGGGACAACTCTTTCAATGGGCACTCACTCATTGGCCACTGCCCTTGAGCCCATCCCGCTGACTGCTGATCCTCCACTCCTTCCCTTTTAGAAGGTAGCAGGAAGGTGCCAGAGGTTTATGGGCAGAATGGCAGAAGTTCTGATAACCCTGGGGATCTACTCTTTCTCCCTCTGCTGCCCCTTTAGATCTGTGGACACGGATCTTGAACAACGTCTGCGTGAGGAGGCTGCTTCCCGTCTTTTTCCCTCACAATAACACCGAATACGTGATCGCCCTCAGCGGCGGTTTTCAGCAAGGGGAATTCTTCCTTATATCCTGCAAAGGTGGGTGTATCAGAAGTCTGTAGAGATGTTCAGTCATCCAGGTCATAGTTGTCCCAAAGGTGCTTTTTTCAGGAGGCAACCTGGACTTCCTTGTTTTTTGTTTTCTTCTGAAGACGTTTCGCTTCTCATCCAAGAAGCTTCTTCAGCTATGACTGGATGGTGGGAAACGGAAGGATTTACATTCATCCTTTTAGAGAGTTCATGAGGCCACTTGGAGGTTTATCTGTGCCCTCAGCATCACCTGAGTAGTGCTCCTGGTTCCTGTAGTCTGCCATTTTTTTCCTCTGGAAATCCATTCCACACCATCTGAAGGGTATTTGTCCCAAATTGTACAGCTAAAAGTCCATCGAGATTCTCAGTCATCCAGGTCAGGGGTGTCCCAAAGGTGCTTTTTTCACAAGGCAACTGGATTTCCTTTGTTCTCCTGAAGGCATTTCGCTTCTCATCCAAGAAGCTTCTTCAGCTCTGGCTGGATGGTGGGGAATGGAAGGATTTACGCTCCTTGCAGCGTGCAAGGAGGCAACTGTCTGCAAGGAATATCAGTCCTTCCATTCCCCATTGTCCTTCAGAGCTGAAGAAGCTTCTTGGATGAAAAGCGAAATGTCTTCAAACAAAAAAACCAAGAAAGTCCAGTTGCCACCTGAAAAGCACCTTTGGGACAACCATCACCTGGATGACACAGCAACCCTCCTAAGTACGAACCATCTAAATTTTGAGTGTGGGAGCTCTGCGGGGGTTGTCAAGGGTGGAAAAAGGTCAGAAGTCACATTTTTTCAGAGCCATGGCAACATTGAGCGGTCACTAAGCAAAACAGTTGTAAGTTGAGGACTGTAAAATAACATTGCAGCATTTTGACAGGTGTGAGGCCATGCCAGGAAAGGAATAATTTTTTTTCTGTTGCTGTTTTTTTTAGATGGGGTTGTGAAGGCGAGTGGCAGCATAAAAGAAAAGGGAAGGTCCGTGTGCTATAATATGTTCCGTGAGTCCTTTTCTATGTTGAAAAGTTGCCTTTTTTCGCTCTGTGTCAGCGTCCCCAAAAATGCACCCATTGGAAGCAGAACTCCAAGGCAAGTAGATTCTTCCAAGAGCATGTTTGGAGACATCTTACTCAACTCTCAAGGTTCCCGCAGTTTTCACCTCATAGCGATAGCCTTAGACTTATATACCCCTTCACAGGGCTTTTACAGCCCTCTCTAAGCGCTTTACAGAGTCAGCCTCTTGTCCCTAACAATTTGGGTCTTCATTTTACCCACCTTGGGAGGACGGAAAGTTGAGTCAACGTTGAGCTGGTCAGGATCGAACTGCCGGCAATGAGCAGAGTGAGCCTGCAAAACTGCATTCTAACCACAATGAAGGGATGGAGGGAGGGTTGGTTTACAGAGTTGGCCTCGTTCCCACAGCAATCTGGGTCCTCATTTTACCCATCTTGGAAGGACGGAAGGCTCTGTCAACCTTGAGCCTGGGGAGATTCGAACTGCAGGCAGCCGGCAGTCAACTGAAGTAGCTTGCAGTACTGCGCTCTAACCACTGCGCCACTGTGTCTCATCATTAAAAGAGTCCAACTCCCCCCTCCCAGGCGTCACCAGTCACATTGTCCGATGAATACAGCTGGCGGGCTCCACTCCTCCTTCACCAGCCACCTGTTTTACGATGACCTTGGTTCCCAGAGGAAAACTTTTTGTTTTGACTGTTAGCTGGGCTATCTCCTTCCCCTCTCAGGCTTCGTGGCAATTACGAGCACACGGTGGCTTCAGCCAATTTGCTTCAGAGCTGGCCCTCTGGGTAGTTTCTGTAGGCTTCAGCTGCTGTGGAGACTTTGGGAAAAGGTGGCTGCACTTTGGGATGGGTGCATCTAACACACTTCCATGCGTCTCTCCAGATTTGGACCTCTCTTCTCCTTTTCTCCAGGTGCTCCCTGTTTAATTACATGGGTCTCGCTGACAGAGGAAAACAAATTCTATTTGCTGGTCATGCACAGGTTCAGCAAGAAGTCTTACATTGTTTCATATGACAGAGGTAAATAATGCACGAGTCCTTTTATGTGGGACTTCTTGACTGCAGCGGAGGCCAAAATTGCTGCCATGGAGCGAGACCTTTGTGAAATTGAGTTTTTGGGCCCCCCCATTTGACCACCCCCACTTGGCCACGCTCATTAAGGGAGTCTGTTGAATTAATGACACGGTTGTTAAGTGAATCTGGCTTTCCCCGTTCGTTTTGCTCATCAGAAAGTCCCCAAAGGGGATCCCATGAACCCCTGGACGCTGCAACCATCATAAATACGAACCATCTGACTCTTGATCACATGACCACGGGGATACTGTAACAGTCCTAAGTGTGGGAAAATGGTCATAGACCACTTCCTTCAGTGCCGTGATAACTTCGGATGGGCACTAAAGGAACCGTTGTAAGTTGGGGACCACCTGTACAATGCAGGATTAGTTGGAACCAGTGGTGGGATTCAAATTGTTTTACTACCAGTTCTGTGGACCTGGTTTGGTGAGTGTGGCAGGGGAAGGATATACTGAAAAATCCCCATTCCCTCCCCACCCCACTAACCTGCTTTCCAGCTCCGTTCTCCTGTGCAGGGCAACCAAAGAAGACCCAGCCAATCAGCTGTGGGCATGGCTTGATGGGCGTGGTGCTCTGTGGGTGTGGCTTGGTGGGCGTTGCAAGGGAAGGTTACTGCAAAATCCCCCTTCCCTCCCCACCCCACTAACCTGCTTTCCAGCTCCGTTCTCCTGTGCAGGGCAACCAAAGGAGACCCAGCCGATCAGCTGGGACTTGATGGGAGGCAGAGAAGAGATGGGGTGCAGGGCCAGTCAGAGGTGGCATTTTCCGGTTCTCCGAACTACTCAAAATGTCCTCTACTGGTTCTCCAGAACTGGTCCAAACTGGCTGAAGACCACCTCTGGTTGGAACCATGTTATTGTTTTTTTTTAATAGTTTCAATTCCAGGTTACCTTATTTGTTGCTTTTGCTGTTTGACCCGGTCAACCAAAACATTCTCTTCTTATCTTCCTCCTGCACATTCTTTTCCGGTCGAGTTCTTCTTTGTGGTGGCCATTTCTGACCACCGCTACAACCGCCTTCCGGAAAGGGAGTAATGGCCAGCTGGGGAGGAGAGATGCGGCTCTCCTCAACCCTGCAGGCAGTCTCCCCCTTCTTCACCACCTCTATGGGGTGGCTTAGCCCCGAAACCAGCTGGCTCGGGGCGCTCCAGCGGCGAGCACGGATCTAAGCCTCGCGGAGAAGAGGTTTCGGTCTGTCGCTGAAGAGGCTCACCTTTTCCTCTACCAGATTTTGTTCAATTTTGAGCAAACACAAGTCTAGCTATAGTTAACACCTGTATAATTAAACATAGTTTTTCTTTGCTGAAGCATTCAGGTACCATCCCTAACGGAAATATTTCAGGTTTCAAATCTATGTGTTGCTTTATCATTTTTTTCCAACCACGTGTGTATTTTTGTCCAATATCTTTTAGCTTCTATGCATGTCCACCACATATGGTAATATGATCCAGAACTAAGCACCCCGCCGACCAGATCGGTTCTGGGCCTTGAGTTTGACACCCCTGCTCTAAGGTCTTCGTTTGTGTTCACACGCTAACCTTGGTTCTATTTTCTCTTCCGTTTCCAGAGCAGAAACATTTTGAAAAAGTGTATGCGATCCCTACCCGTGTACCTGAGGGTAAGAACCCTACCGTTCATGGTTTACGAAACTCACCTGGTCCTTGGGAGGAGGAGAGGAATGCCCCACCCAGTCTAAACAGCCGGCTGACTCTGCCACAAAACAGCATAATGCTCATTTATCAAACCATTCGTGCCGCCCAACTCTCAATAACTCTGGGCAGCTCACCACAGTGAAATGACAACCCAAGCAATAGGAAGATGAGGGGGGAAAAAAAACCACCTTTCACGAGAAAGAAAGAAAAAGAAAAGAATAGAGGGGTGAAAAAGAAGTGGGGGTGTCTCCCTCCCTCTGGCAATGACCCGGGAGAAGAGCCAAGTCTTCCCTGCTTTTCGAAACGATAACAGAACGGAGGCCGTCCAGATCTTGGGGGCAGCTTTGTTCCAGGGGGAAGGTGTTGCAGCGGCAAAGGTGTGTTTTTGGCTTCTGGGAGATGGCCTTGCTTAGTGCAGGGTTTCCCAACCTTGGCAACTTGAGGACACATGGATTCAGTTCCCAGAATTCCTCAGCCAGCTGTGCTGTTTGTCTGAGTCTTGTAACAACACACAGCAGCCTAATCAAGGGACCATCAAGACTGCCACCATCAACACTGACAGGGCAAGCCGTTAGCATGTAAAAAAGTGAGCAAACCACACTCCCTTCTAGGACTGATGTTGTTGCCTAGTTGGGTGATGAAATGTCTGCAAGAAAACAACCAAGCTCAGAGAGCACCAAGGACACCCACCACCCCCAATTTCAACCCCGAGCTACAGATATTCTCTACGATCGGTAATTTATCCTTGTTCCTTTCTGCCTTGAGATTCTGCTCATTCTGCTGCGCTGTCCCTGACTTTCAGGCAGATTTGAGGTTCAGAACAGCAGCCTTCAAAGAAAGGCTGGTCCTCAGATAAATGGAGGTGGGGAGTGTTGGGGGACCCAAAACACAGAGAGGAAGAAGAGATGGTTCAATTCTGCTGTTTTTCCTTTTGTAGTCTTCCCTCAACGCTGCTGAAAACCTTTCGTTTGATAGTCCTCTCTTCTTCTCCACAGCCTCTGATAAAGGGTTTGTGATGCTCCTGGGCACCGAGGCATACTCAAGGACAGCCCTGATCGCTCGGGGCCTGGCTTACAATCCCTTCAGCCGGTCTTTTTATATTTGGGGGAACGTGATCTTGCTAAGGTAAGCTTGTCCTTCCTAGGCTGAACTGTCATAGTGTCCAAAGCAGAGGTGGGATTTAGCCGGTTCGGATGAGTTCTGGAGAACGGGTAGCGGGAATTTTGAGTCGTTCAGAGAACCGGCAAATCCCACCTCTGACTGGAGATTTTACAGTATCCTTCCCCTGCCAGGCCCACCAAGCCAGGCCCACAGAACTGGTAGTTTAAAAAAATTGAATCCCACCGCTGGTCCAAAGGAGTAATTTAGCTGGTAGAAACGAGCAGGAATATAATGAGAAATACGAGACAGCTTGGTCTTTTCAACATGGTCCTTTTAGCAGTTCCCAGAAAGTTCTACAGCCATTTGCACTATTCAGGCATAGAGAAACCTCCAAGTGGCCTCACCGACTCTCCGAGAGAGCACTAAGGACCAGAGGACTGCAAGGAATATAAATAGCAGTAGCCCTTAGACTTGTATACCGCTTCACAGGGCTTTTACAGCCCTCTCTAAGAGGTATACAGAGTCAGCCTTTTGCCCCCAACAGTCTGGGCCTTCATTTTACTGACCTCAGAAGGATGGAAGGCTGAGTCAACCCTGAGCCTGGGGAGAGTCGAACTGCCCAACTGCAGGCAGCCGGCAACCATTCAGTCAGCACCGAAGAAGCTTCTTGGATGAGAAGAGAAACGTCTCCCAGGAAAAACAAAGAAAGTCCAGTTGCCTCTTGGAAAAAGCACCTTCGGGACAAGGACGAGGCATTTTAATTATTTCTCTGTTAGGCTTTATCCCAGCTTTATTGTTTTGGTTATAAATAACTCAAAGCAGCAGACATACCTCATACTCAGCGGTGGTATTCAAATTTTTTTACTACCGGTTCTGTGGGCGTGGTTTGGTGGGTGTGGCGTGGCGTGGCTTGATGGGCATGGCAGGGGAAGGATACTGTCAAATCCCCATTTCCACCCCACTCCAGGGGAAGGATGTACTACAAAATCCCCCTTCCCTCCCCACCCCACTAACCTGCTTTCCAGCTCCGTTCTCCTGTGCAGGGCAACCAAAGAAAACCCAGCTGATCACCTGGGACTCGATGGGAGGCAGAGAAGAGATGGGGTTGGCGGGGCCAGTCAGAGGTGGGATTTGCTGGTTCTCCTAACTATTCACAATTTCCGCTACCGGTTCTCCAGAACCTGTCAGAACCGGCTGAATACCACCTCTGCTAATACTCCTTCCTCCTATTTCCCCCTGTGAGGTGGTTGGGCTGAGAGAGAGCATTCGGCTCAAAGTCGGCGTTCACGCCAAAGGCGGGACTAGAACTCACTGAGTCCTGGTGATTGGCCCAAAGTCCCCAGCCAACAACCAGACACGAACTGGAACTAAAACTGCCAGCCTCCTGATTTCTAGGCCTTAACCGCTACCCCAAAGTGGTTCTCCAGACTGAAGTTGGCCCACTACTCAACCTGATGACAGCGTTTTTCTCTTTCCTTGCTCTCCTTTCCAGCCAAGATATGACGCATTACATCTATCTGTCCAATTTCCCGCGTGACTCTCCCATCAAGGATTTTGTCCTCTCTTTTACGGGGTCTTTTGCCATTATGACAGACCGGGAGGAGGTAAGGCCTTTCTATTCCTCATGAATCCAGGGGGTAGGAAGGCTGCAGGAAGCGGATCATCCCTGGCCATTAACCCCACTTTCTGTTTTCCTCTTCAGAGGTAGTCCTTGACTTACGATGGTTCATTTAGTGACCGTTCAAAGTTACAACGGCACTGAAAAGATTGGACAACCATTTCTCTGAAATGGTATAGGGTTTCCTGCCTAAGCTGGGGGTTGGACTGAAAGACCTCAATGGTGTGGTCTATTCTATTCTATTCTATTCTATTCTATTCTATTCTATTCTATTCTATTCTATTCTATTCTATTCATATTCTGTCTTGTTCTATTTTATATACCATTCTATACCAGGGGTTGCCAATCTTTTGGACCTCAGGGACCACCAAACTCACAATTTTAGATCCCAGGGACCACTACCCGGTTCTGTGGGTGTGGCCTAATTTGTGGGTGTGGCTTGGTGGTCATGTGACTGGCTGAGCATGGCTTGTATGTAAATATTATAAATATTTATATATTGAATTGTTTATAAGAAAGAGCAACTTTTACCCAAAATCAGGCAAAGCAGGCAGATTGAGTTGCTCACAAAATCATAGATGCATTCAGAGATCCAACTATCTGCCATTGGCTAGTCAGTCTGTCACATAAAATTTGCTAGCAAGCAAACTCACAAAATTAACTCACAACACATCATGCATGTAAATATTGAATTTTTTATTCTAAAAAAGAGCAACTTTTACCCAAAATCAGGCAAAGCAGGCAGATTGAGTTGCTCACATAATCATTCAGTGATCTATCTATCTGCCATCGGCTAGCTCAGTCTCTCAAATTTGCTTGCCGTGAGTCTGCACTGAATTTGCTTGCAAGCAAACCTTCAGTCCTAAGGGAGGTTCGGCTGCGCTTAGCTAGAAAGCAAGAAATCCAAACTTTTCCTGCTTCCTAGCTAATCTAAATCTTCCGGCATAGCAGAACAGATGATGGTTGGAAAAAGGAAAAATAGCAATTTAGCAGGCAAGTTTACTGGGTAAGGAGTGAGTGGGCGGGGAGAGTTACCGCGCGCCATGTGGGCGGCACAGCCTTGTGTTTCTGCACTGCCTGGATTAATTGCTTTGTGGGGGTGCTCTGGGGGTGAGATTTCTCTGCGGCCCACCAGTTGGCGACCGCTCTTCTATACTATTCTATTATTCTGTTCTTTTCTGTTCTGTTCTATTTTCTATTCCATTTTCTACTCTATTTTCGATTCTCTCTTGTTTTATTCCTATCTTACCCTGTTCTACAGATATTTGTATGCAAAGTAGCTGTGCACAAAAACTCCCTCCACCCCCCCCTCCCTTTTCTTCTTATTGTAGCTCTGGGTGTCGAGCGAAAGCGGCATCGAATTTAAAAAGGTTTATCCGTCGGATTCCTGGCATAAGTTGCGTGCTCTCGAAAGGATGAGAGGGTCCACAAAATATTCCAGATCAGGCAGTCATGCCATCATCAGCATATTCTACAGCCCAGAGGGCTTGCAGGAGGTGGGTGAGATGCGCCAGAGAGGGGCCACATGGGACCTCCGTGGAAGTTTCACGGAAGCCAAGGCGTCTCGCGAGGTCCTTATGGGTTTGAACGAGGGGCTCGCGGGCTTTGCTTAACAATTTCTTGATTGATTTGGCTTCTATTGCCCATCTCACAGGTGTGACACTGGGCAGCTTGCTACTCTCCCGTTTATTATCACAGGTAGTCCTCGGCTTACAACCATAACGAAGCCCCAAATTTCTGTCAAGAAGCAAGACGTTTGTTAAGCAAGTTCTGTGCCACTTTACGATCTTTTTTGCCACAGTGGTTAGTAGCCCAGTTCTTAAGTGAACCTGGTGTTCCTCATTGACTTGGCTTTGTCAGAGGATTGCAATACGTGACCCGCAACTGTCATAAATATGAGTCAGTTGCCAAACATCTGAATTTTGATCACATGATGTGGCAAACGCTGTAACTCTGAAAAAAAATGGTCCCAATCCGTTTTTCCCGGTGCCGTCGTAACTTTGAACGGTCACTGAAAGGAAACATTGTAAGTCAGGGACTCCCTGCATTCTTAACAACCAAAAGCATAATGTGTCAACTCATAAAATGGGGGTGGGGTGGGGAGGAAGGAAATCTGGAAGAGTAGTGCAGCAGGTTGCAAGCAGAAGTACATTCCAACTCTTATCTTTAAAAGACTGTAACTTAGCTACCAGAGCTTTTGCCCGCCGATATATTTAATTAGAGAATGTGAATGATGACACCTAGCCTATGAAGGTGCTCAATTGGAGAATCTGATTTATGACACACCTGGGGTGGGGAGGGGGACAATGGGGTCACTGCCGTAAATGCTGTAGGCCAGAGTTGGCTTCATACAGGGCAGGGCCAGTATGTCGTCTCTAATAAATCGTTTGAAGTTTTTTGAAGTTGGGCTCGAGAATCATGATTTAATTAGGGCGATTGCTGGAATCCTGACATAATGAGTGAAAATAAAGAATTGAAATCAGAAGGTCCAGATTCCCAGCGTAAAAAGTCCTCCAGACTTTTTTGTTGTTGTTCCCTGCCATGAGAGAAATACAAGAAGTCCACGATTGTTGGCCACAGTTGGGATAACCATTTCTGTTGCTAAGCAAGGTGGTCGTTAAGCGAGCCACGCCTGATTTCACAGTATCCTTTGCCATGGTTGTTAAACAGATCGCTGAGTTGTTTAATACATCGCAAGGTTGGTGAGGGAATCTGGCTTCCCTGCCCCCTTCCCCAGACTTTACATCTCACACATTGGCTGGGAAAGTCACAAAAAGCGATCATGCGGACCCTGAGACGTAAATACATGCGTCGGCCAAGCACCTGAATTTTGATCACGTTTTCAACCCTGAACCCAATTCGAGGCTTCAGTGTTGCCACACCGGAGCTGAGGGATAAGCAGGGGGGAATAGAGGTAGCTGGGGTTTTGTAGCCAAAACAAAATACTTTCTCCTGGGAACCAAGGACATTCCCACAGGTGGTCGGAGAGAGGAGGAGCAATGTTACCCGGCAACAGGACAGCACCTTGATTGGACCATGTGTCTGATTGTTTTGAGAAAGTGAAAAAACTTTTAAATTGGGCAAAAACCGTGGGAACCTTCAGAGTCGGTTTACCATCAGAACTGTGCCAATATGACATATCCAATAAGCCCATTCTTTGAGGGATCTACCCGGGGGTGGGATTCTACCGGTTTGGATCGGTTCTGGCGAACCGGTAGTTCCGGTGATCGTTTGTCCCCACCCCTGCTCTTTCCACTTCTTTATTTCCTTGTTTTGGAGTGCAGCTGATGCGTGTGGCAGAGCGGTTTTGCCATGCCTCAGCCGTTGAACTCACCGGGGCTGCAGTAGAAGGTAAGTATTATAGCTGAAAATGGGCTTGTTTTAAAATGGTGTGCACGCGCACGATCCCCGAACCGGTTGTTACACCGGTTGAATCGCACCACTGGATCTACCGCCCTCCGAGGTTTGTCTCCTATGGGTAGATTACTTGGGACCCAGGCACTTGGGGCCTTGGGGAATGCTGAGATGGCCCTTAATTGCCAGGAACGGTCCTAAGTCCCTTTCTGCAGTCCTGTTGTAATTTAGAATAGTTGCTGGACAAAAAAAAAAGGCTCGTAAGCCAAGGACAGCTTGTAATGGCAGAAGTGAGGTGAAGACTGCGATGTTGCCTTTGCGTCGGTTATTGTTAAATCCCAGGTCTGTTTGGCTTGGCTTTTTCCTTTATTTTGCAGCTGGTTTATTTGAAAGAATTTGGCAGAGGAAGATTCGTGAAGAGGGATTTCCCTCAAGACACGGTCCTGACATATGATCTCTTGATCAACGCACCTCGCAAAAAAATGACGATCAAGTGAGTGGAAGGCTCTGCATTTTGCCAACGACCCCCAGGGCGCCAAATCTTGCCGATGGAAGGGAGAAGAAAGGCTCCCTTCAATCCTGCCCTTACTATCCTTTGTTTGACCACTTCTGGGTCTCCTCCTTCCATTTGCCCTTCTCGACAAATACAGTTGCATGTTAGATTTTGTGCTTTCATGCCTTAGGCAGCACTAGAACTCACGGCCACCTGGGGATTGGCCTAAAATCACCCAAGGAACTCCTTTAAGGCTCAGTTCTCATCCTTTTGTGGCTTCTAGACTAGCTGTGCACTTGATCCTTCCTCCTCCTCCTCCTCCTCCTCCTCCTCTCCTCCTCCTCCTCCTCCTCCTCCTCCTCCTCCTCCTCCTCCTCCTCCCTGCCAGTTGCAGGGCTTCCTTGCAGCCGCGTTCCCGTTAGAAAAAGGCCTGCAAAACGGCCGACAATGTGTTCTCTGTTTCCAGCGGGAAAGACTACATCCGATTCACCCATCTGTGCCCCTTCGGTAACTTGCTTATGGTGGATCTGCCATGCCCGCAGCTCTATACCCGAGAGGAGTATTACTGGGCCACCCCTCCAGACATCATGGAGCAATCCGGATTCCATCACAAGGACTCGCTCACCGTCTACCAGGGCCTGGTCTACCAGTTGCTTCAGCTGCATTCAGCGTATCACAGAGTGAGGACCAGTATTAGTTTTCTGGACACAACAAAGGGGCAGCCCGTGGCTGGAAAAATCTGTGGTGTGGGATTCAAATTTTTTTACTACCATTTCTGTGGGCATGGAGTGGCGTGGTGGGCGGGGCAGGGGAAGGATACTGCAAAATCCCCCTTCCCTCCCCACCCCACTAACCTGCTTTCTAGCTCCGTTCTCCTGTGCAGGGCAACCAAAGGAGACCCAGCCGATCAGCTGGGACTCGATGGGAGGCGGAGCATAGATGGGGGAGGGGCCAGTCAGAGGTGGGATTTGCTGGTTCTCCAAACTACTCAGAATTTCCACTACTGGTTCTCCCGAACTGGTCCGAACTGGCTGAATACCACCTCTGCTTGGCCTACAGCAATGGTGGCTAACCTTTTTGCGCATGCGTGTGCAATCCCCCCTGCGGCCCGCTTACCTGCACTGCATATGGGTGCGCCTCCCAGCTGATTTTCGGCCTGTTTGAGGCCGTTTTTGCCCTCCCGGAGGCTCGTGGGAAACCTCTGCAGCCTTAGGAGGTGGAAAAGAGGCCCATTTCGGTATTTCCGGAAGGCCCCTTTTTTGGTCTCCGGAGGCTGCAGAGGCTTCCTTCGAGCCTCTGGGAGGGCAAAAACAGTTTCAAACAGGCTGAAAACCAGCTAGGAGGCGCACTCATGTGCAGTGCAGGTAAGTTTCGCTGGGGCTCGCGTGCCCGCAGAAATGGCTCTGCGTGCCATAGGTTCACCATCACGGCTATCTAGTGAGAACAGTTTAGGTGATTCATTGGAGGTTCATTGATTCCTGTCATCTTGTCTCCTCAGCCTTATGCCGACCCCGTCCATGACCCCACTTGGCGCTGGTGGAAAAACCAGAAAGAAGAGGCCGTAAGGAGAAAAATAACACCACCACCAACAACAACCCTGAGCATCACTTCTTAGCCTTTGCACTACTTAACCCTCTTTCCAAGCCTGGCAGAATTATGGGAAAACAGTCAAGCGTGCCACAAAAGTGCAGTTGTTGTGGGTTGGGTTGCGTGGGAGGCTGCTAAATTCACCCATTCTCATAAAATACGGGTAGTGACCGCAACACTACAGAAAGTCAACATGAGCCATAAAATCAACCCTTCTGGAATTTACTTGGTCTCTCCCTCCCTCTCCCTTTTTCCTTCCTCTCCAGGAATATTTTAGCTACAAGGCGAGCAACTGGAAATCGTTGGGAGGTATCTACGTCGAAATGGCCAACTATGCCAAAGTTTATAATGTGATGCCGGATAACAGTCTACCCAAATACATCTATCTGGACAAGAATACAGTCTACTCTTTTAATGTGTTCCTGACCACCAGATCAGCCAGAGAGAGCAGTGAGGAATGGCGCATTAGAGGACCTTCCTTCCTTCCTTCCTTCCTTCCTTCCTTCCTTCCTTCCTTCCTTCCTTCCTTCC